TTATTATTATGTTGATGATGAGGAGTGTGACTGTTGGGGACCCTCTCACTCCCACAGGACGTGAGTTGGGCAGATCCTCGAAGTCGCAGCTGTGTTGTGGTGAACGTCTGTTTGATAAGGAGAAGGAGATTTGCTGCTCAAACCTGACTGTCCACAGCCGTCACAAGGGGACAGAGTGCTGCGACAACTTCACCATCAACAGCTCTATCCCTACCACCCCCACCTTCACACCTGTGCCCAAGGTAAGCTGCGTCCCCCCCCACCCACACCCCCCCCCGCACTCACCTTCACACCTGTCCCCAAGGTGAGCACAGCACACCCTTCTGATAGTGAGTCCCTGTAGCTCAGGGGTTAGACCCCTCGCCTCGCACCCCACAGCCCCTGTAGCTCAGGGGTTAGACCCCTCGCCCCCACCCCACAGCCCCTGTAGCTCAGGGGTTAGACCCCTCCCTCGCACCCCACAGCCCCTGTAGCTCAGGGGTTAGACCCCTCCCCTCGCACCCCACAGCCCCTGTAGCTCAGGGGTTAGACCCCTCCCCTCGCACCCCACAGCCCTGTAGCTCAGGGGTTAGACCCCTCCCCTCGCACCCCACAGCCCCTGTAGCTCAGGGGTTAGACCCCTCGCCTCGCACCCCACAGCCCCTGTAGCTCAGGGGTTAGACCCCTCCCTCGCACCCCACAGCCCCTGTAGCTCAGGGGTTAGACCCCTCGCCTCGCACCCCACAGCCCCTGTAGCTCAGGGGTTAGACCCCTCGCCTCGCACCCCACAGCCCCTGTAGCTCAGGGGTTAGACCCCTCGCCTCGCACCCCACAGCCCCTGTAGCTCAGGGGTTAGACCCCTCGCCTCGCACCCCACAGCCCCTGTAGCTCAGGGGTTAGACCCCTCGCCTCGCACCCCACAGCCCCTGTAGCTCAGGGGTTAGACCCCTCGCCTCACACCCCACAGCCCCTGTAGCTCAGGGGTTAGACCCCTCGCCTCGCAAGCCAGAGGACCCGGGTTCGATTCCCGGGCGGGTCAGGACAGGGCGAAACCTTAGGCAAGTTTCCTTACTCCCCCCACCCCCCCCACACACACACACACAGACACACGCCCCCAAACATACAGCAGTAAGACACACCCACTTGTTAGTCGATTGGGGGATCACTTTCCGGGGTAATAATCCTTCAAAATAGTAATTTGTTCACTTCAACCCGCTGTCTGGGGACGTCACTGAGTGCAATTGGCTGCCGCGTTTCCCCACAAAACACACAGTCACTACACTTTACAGTGTATCCTGTGAAGCGCTTTGAGACGTCTCAACGACGTGATCAGGCGCCGGGTCAGACACCGGGATTATTATTGTTTTGTTGTTGTTGCTCAGGTTCTCTTGTGCTGATCCCATGTGGAGGGATTGACTATGATGAACAGACACAGATTTGCTGCTCTGGGAATCTACACAATCGCCGTCATGGAGGGTCTCAACAAGAGGTACGTTACACCCAGTGTCACTCACTCTGACACCATCTCCACCCCCCCACCAAACCCACCCCCACATCAAATGCCAGGATTATTATTATTATTATTATTATTGTTATTATTGCTATTATTGTTGTTATTTCTGACTGTGTTGGTGTTGGCCTCTCAGTGCTGTGGGGCTCAGGTTTACCCCAAAGACAGCCGGGCCCTGGTGTGTTGTGGAGAGACTCTTCACGTGAAAACCTCAAACGTCACTCATTGCGTAGGAAACGCCTTATACAACCCGACCACCCACACCCTCTGCGGGTCAGTCATCCACCCGACACAGCCCGGGACCCAGTGCTGCGGGCACCAACTCCAAAACCACACACACATCTGTTGCAACGGGCACAGGTAATTGAGGAGCACACCCCTCCCACGCGCCCCCCCCCCCCCCACTCTTCTGCCACCTCCCCCTCCTCATCCTCCCCCCTCCCTCCTCCCTCTCCTCCTCATTGATGTTCTTGGCGATGTTGTTGGCGATGTTGCTGATGTTGTTGTCGTCGTCGACGTTGTTGTTATTGATGTTGTCATTGTTGATGATGTTGATGATGATGATGTTGTTGTTGTTGTCGAGTGTTACCATGTACTGTTTCCCCGGCAGACACTCTGGGTCCCTGGGTTCCCGTGTGGCCTCCTGTTGTGGTGTGAGTGCGTATGATGAGAGCGACAACACGAGTGTGTGTTGTGGGGGGAGGCTACACACTGCCCTCCCGGCCCCCGGGGGTGGGGAATGCTGCGGAAAACTCCTCATCGACCCCAACACCCACCAATGCTGTCGCTCGCCCCAATTCTCCTTGATCTACCCCCTCCACACCTCCTTCCACTGCTGCGGCCATCACTATTACAACAGCAGCCACCAGCGGTGCTGCTCACAACAACTGGGGGTCAAACCCCAGCCAGGTGGGTACTCACTCACTCACTCCCTCCCACCCTCCCTCCCTCACTCACTCACTCACTCACTCCCTCCTCCCTCCCTCCCTCCCTCACTCACTCACTCACACCCCACCCACCCCCTCCCTCCCTCCCTCACTCCCTCCCTCCCTCACTCACTCACTCACACACCCCCTCCCTCCCTCCCTCCCTCCCTCACTCCCTCCCACCCTCCCTCCCTCCCTCACTCACTCATCACTCACTCACTCACACCCCACCACCCCCTCCCTCCCTCCCTCACTCCCTCCCTCCCTCCCTCCCTCACTCACTCACTCACTCACACCCCACCCACCCCTCCCTCCCTCACTCACTCCCTCCCACCCTCCCTCCCTCCCTCCCTCACTCACTCACTCACTCACACCCCACCCACCCCCTCCCTCCCTCCCTCACTCCCTCCTCCCCTCACTCCCTCGCACACTCACTCACTCACACCCCACCCACCCCCTCCCTCCCTCCCTCACTCCCTCCCTCCCTCCCTCCCTCACTCACTCACTCACTCACACCCCACCCACCCCCTCCCTCCCTCCCTCCTCCGTTTCCAGTGTCTTGGGGTGTCCGCCAGATGTGAAAGGCTCGTCACAAATGGAATTGGTTGTGATTATGTAACAGCGTCTGACAACAACAACAACAACAACAACCATAATAATAACAGCAATAATAATAATCACTGTCTGGCTTCCTCTCACAGATGTCAAGCTGATGGCTTTAGTCAAGGTTCCTATGTCCACCCTCTGTAACAGTGCAGGTGAGTCCCCACCATCCCCACAAGAACTGGGACGTCGCTGGGCGCAATTGGCTGCTGCAGAAAACACTCAGTCACTACACTTTACAGTGTCTCCTGTGAAGCGCTTTGAGACGTTTTGACGACGTGATGAGGCGCCGGGTCAAATGCCGGGATTATTATTATTATTAATATTATCATTGTCATTGATATTGTTATATTATTATTATATCATTATTATTATTAATGTCGCCGGCCATTGCTCTCTGTCTGGGACCGTGTTGCGTTGTGTTTATGGAGCGCAGTACGTAGGGAGTTCAGGACATATGTACAAGTGACCACCAGGACGGTGGAGGGCACGATGGAGTCGATTTCTTTTATCTTATGTTCTTATGTGTTGTGTTTGTCTTGCAATTCTTTTGCGTTTTGTCTTGTGTTTGTCTTGTGTGCCTTGCATTTGTCTTGTGTTTGTCTTGTGTTTGCCTTGCGTTTTGTCTTGGGTTTGTCTTGTGTTTTGTGTTGTGTTTTGTCTTGGGTTTGTCTTGTGTTTTGTGTTGTGTTTTGTCTTGGGTTTGTCTTGTGTTTGCCTTGTGTGTCTTGCATTTGTCTTGCGTTTGTCTTGTGTTTGACTTGTGTTTGACTTGTGTCTGTCTTGTGTTTAGCTGTGGTGGGGAAGGTGACCAACGTGTCGCAGAAGGGACAGCAACTTGTTTGGTGGCTGAAATCGTCGGTTGTTTTGAAAGCCAATTGCGATTTGAAATGGATGTCAACTCATCTCAGACCCTGTCCGCACAGTTCAAGCTCCGGACCAGGAAGTTCCTCAGCGCCAAACCAGTCGTCAATGCCACCTATGTTTTCTGGTTACCCAATTCCCAGTATAACGGTAAAGCCATCTTGTCTCATTGCCTTCTCTCAGTGACCTCTGTCAGTCTCCTGGGCCCAGAACCCATCATCTCTGTGGCTCGTCAGATGCAGAACTGTTCCCATCGACGTCCTCAGCTTTGGGAATCTCTTAACTCGGTCTAAACCCAACCACATCAATGCTACAAACTGCTGGTAAACACAGGCGTGTGGGGGGGTGTCTGTCTGTGTGTGTCTGTATGTGTGTGTCTGTATGTCTGTGTCTGTGTGTGTCTGTGTCTGTGGGTCTGTGTGTGTGTGTGTGTGTGTGTCTGTGTTTGTGTGTCTGTGTGTGTGCGTCTGTGTGTGTGTGTGTCTGTGTGTGTGTCTGTGTGTGTCTGTGTTTGTGTCTGTGTGTGTGTCTGTGTGTGCGTGTCTGTGTGTGTGTGTGTCTGTGGGTGTGTGTCTGTGGGTCTGTGTGTGTGTGTGTCTGTGTGTGCGTGTCTGTGTGTGTGTGTCTGTGTGTGCGTGTCTGTGTCTGTGTGTCTGTGTGTGTGTCTGTGGGTGTGGGTCTGTGTGTGTGTGTGTGTGTCTGTGTGTGCGTGTCTGTGTGTGTGTGTGCGTGTCTGTGTGTGTGTCTGTGGGTCTGTGTGTGTGTGTGTGTGTGTGTCTGTGTGTGTCTGTGTGTGTGTGTCTGTGTGTGTGTGTGTGCGTGTCTGTGTGTGTGCGTGTCTGTGTGTGTGTGTGTCTGTGTGTGTGTGTCTGTGTGTGCGTGTGTGCATGTCTGTGTGTGTGTGTGCGTGTCTGTGTGTGTGCGTGTCTGTGTGTGTGTGTCTGTGTGTGCGTGTCTGTGTGTGTGTCTGTGTGTGCGTGTCTGTGTGTGCGTTTCTGTGTGTGTGTGTGTGTGTGTGTGTGTGTGTCTGTGTGTGTGTGTGTGGGTGGGTGTCTGTGTGTGTGTGTGTGTGTGTGTCTGTGGGTGTGGGGGGAGTAAGGAAACTTGCCTAAGGTTTCACCCAGTCCTGACCCGCCCGGGAATTGAAACCGGGTCCTCCCTCTGGTTTGTGAGGTGAGGGGTCTGACCCCTGAGGACCCCACACGCCTGTGTTTTCCGGCAGTCAGTAGGAATCCGCTTGTTAATAACCTGATGACACATTTCATCCAAAACAATGCACAAACACAAATGCTGAGTCGTCAGCCGAACAAATGGAAATTTTGCTGTGAAAATCTTAGTCACTGATATAGAAATTTGGCAAAATATCACAAAAGAATCTGTGTTTATTTGCCTACAGTGAGAACTGGACACATTTGTTTCTTGACCAATGGGACAATAATCATTTGGATTATGGTTCCTGTATGTGGTTTATTCATATCCTTTATTGTCAGTTAGTATAAGAGAGATTATAAACCTCAACATAATAATCATTTGGTCCCTCAATCCACGACTGTTTGCCGGATGATTGGACTAGTTGGGGTAAGAGTGGGGGAGTGGGGACCAGTTGGGGTAAGAACCGGGGGAATGGGGATTAGTTGGTGGTTCTTTCAAAGAGCCGGCACAGACACGATGGGCCGAATGGCCTCTTTCTGCATTGTGAGGTTCTATGGTTTTATGTGTGAATACATTTGACGTATAACATCTTTACGATGTTGTTGATGTGTGTATCTCGAAGTGTGTAACTGTGCTGTGAGGCCATTTCCTTCCTGTAATCTCTCACCAATAAATTATATCCCAGTAACTGTTTGTCTCGGTCACTTTTCTGTCCTAATCCATTCACACACATACCACTCACACACTCTCACACACACTCACACATACACACACACACACACATTCTCACACACACTCACACACCACACACACTCACATGCACACACGCACTCACACACACACACTCACACATACACACACACACATTCTCACACACACTCACACATACACACACACACATTCTCACACACACTCACACACCACACACACACTCTCACACACCACACACTCACACACACACTCACACACCACACACACACCACACACTCACACGCACGCACTCTGTCACACACTCACACACACACACACTCTGTCACACACTCATACACACACACCACATATAAACTCACACCAGAGGATGACATTAAAAAAATGCAGCGCGACATAGATAGGTGACTGGGCCGGTGGGTGGCAGTTGAACTATAATGTAGGGAAGTGCGAAGTCATCCGCCTCGGGAGCAAAAACAGTGTAAGCGGATTATTTTTTAGAAGGGGAGAGATTGGAATGTGTTGGCGTCCAGAGGGACTCGGGGTGTCCTTGTACACCAGTCACAGGAAGTTATTCTGCAGGTGCAACAGCGATTAGGAAGGGGAACGGTACGTTAGAGTTCATTATGAAAGGATTAGAGTATAAGAGTCGGGAAGTCTCACTGCAACTGTATAGGGCCCTGTGAGACCACACCTGGAATACTGTGGGCAGTTTTGGTTCCTTATTTTGGGAAGGATGGACTTCACTCAAAGGGCAGTGAATGTATGGAACTCACTACCCCAAAGGGCTGTTGACGCTCAGTCCTTGAACATATTCAAGACTGAGAGAGATAGATGTCTTATTGCCAAAGGGATTAAGGGATTATGGGGATAAGGCAGCGTCAGGTTATTAGCTGGAGTTGGATTAGAAGATCAGCCATGAATGAATAGGGCGGGGCAGAGGCTCGAAGGGCCGAATGGCCGACTCCTGCCCCTACATGTTATGTTACGTTACGTTACGTTATGTTATGTTATGTTATGTTATGTTATGTTATGTTATGTTATGTTATGTTATGTTATGTTACCAGGGGGTGAAATCGAGTTCCACACACTTTAAAAGCCTTCCTGCCCTGCTGTTAGATTAAAGAAGTTGTAGCATAATAATGATGAATATTAAACAAATGTAGAATGGAGAAAGTACTGACTGTCATGGGATAGGACACATCTGTCTTTCTCTGTTTTTGAAAGAATAACAAGACAGCTTTGGGAAAAGGCCGGGCCTCAGCCCTAAACAGTAACTGACAACAAGACACAGAGGGAACGGTCCAAGGTATCGGTCGACACAGGATCTCGACTTAGCCATAAATCGCTGGATTCTGACAGGGCCGAGCGACAGAAGGCAACCCTCAAGAATAGCAACTAATGAGCAAGTTGTTTAAACTGGAGGACCTCGGTACCATCCTGGGAGTCCGATAAAAAATAACCAGTTACTTAAAAGGAATGTACTAACATCCCACACAACAAAACGAAAAGCACCAGATACAGCCCTAAACCGATCCATCTTCTATCTTAGACCGGACAAAGGGAAGACCTCAACAACAACAACAACAACAACAAGATTCCATTTATAAAGCGCCTTTCACGTCAGGAGGACGTCCCAAGGCGCTGCACAGTTGGGTCATGACCCGAGCATTGGGGGGAAATGGTCAGGGTGAGGGGAGGGAAGGGAGGGAGCGAGGAGGGGGAAATGGTCAGGGTGAGGGGAGGGAAGGGAGGGAGCGAGGAGGGGGAAGAGAGTCGAGAGGGGAGCTGAAGGCACGGTCAAAGAGAAAGGTTTTGAGACCGGCCTTGAAGGAGGAAAGGGAGGAAGCGGCGAAGGCACTGGGGGATGGAGTTCCAGAGCCTGGGGCTGAGAGGCTGAAGGCCCGACCACCGATGGTAGGGCGGTTGGGGCGGGGGACGTGGAGCAGACCGGAGCCAGAGGAACGGAGGGTACGGGCAGGTAGGTAGGGGGATAGTAGGTTGGAGAGGTAGGAGGGAGCAAGGCCGTGAATGGCCTTGTAGGTGAGGATGAGGATCTTGAAATCAATCCTCTGGGGGATGGGGAGCCAGTGGAGGCGAGCGAGGGTGGGAGTGATGTGGTCGCGAAGCCTGGTGCGGGACAGTACACGAGCTGCAGAGTTCTGAATGACCTGCAGCTTGTGGAGGGAGGTGGCGGGAAGGCCGGCGAGGAGAGAGTTCCCATAGTCCAGCCTTGAGGTGACAAAGGCGTGAACCAGGGTTTCAGCAGCGTGAGGGGTGAGGTAGTGCCGTAGTCTGGCGATGTTCCGGAGGTGATGGAAGGCGGTGCCAGTTGTGGTGCGGATGTGAGGGAGAAAGGACAGCTCAGGGTCGAACAAAACGCCGAGGTTCCTGACTGGCTTTGAGAGGTGGAGAGTGCAGCCTTGGATGCTGATGGTGTCAGCGCCTGAGGTGCGGAGGCGCTGACGTGAGCCAATCAGGAGGGCCTCGGTTTTTCGCACGTTGAGCTGAAGAAAGTTGTCTCTCGTCCAGGACTCGATGTCGGACAGGCAGCTGTCAGGACATCGGTGGTCGTGGAGTTGAGAGTAGAGGAGGAAAGGTAGAGTTGGGTGTCATCCGCATACATGTGGAAGTTAACTCCATGTCTGCGGATGATGTCACCGAGGGGGAGCATATAGAGGGTGAAGAGGAGGGGACCGAGGACAGAGCCCTGAGGGACACCACATGAGACAGTACGGGGGGTGGAGGAGAAGCCATTCGTCGAGACAAAGTGAAGACGGTGAGAAAGGTACGACCTAAACCATTCAAGGACAGTGCCTTGAAGGTTGAGGTGGGAGGACAAGCGGTGGAGTAGGATAGCGTGGTCGACCGTATCGAATGCTGCCGATAGGTCGAGGAGGACGAGGAGACAGAGGGAGCCCTGGTCACAGATGGTCAGGATATCATTGGTGACCTTGACCAGGGCAGTTTCTGTGCTATGGGCAGCACGGAAACCTGACTGAAGGGGTTCGAAAAGAGAATGGGTGGAAAGGAAAGAGCGCAGTTGGGAGGCGACAACTCTTTCCAAGACCTTGGAGAGAAAGGGGAGGTTGGAGATGGGCCGGTAGCTTGATAGCTGCGACGCATCAAGGGAGGGTTTTTTCAGGGTGGGCGTGATGATGGCAGTTTTTAATGGAATGGGGACAGAGCCAGAGGAGAGGGACAGGTTGATGATGTCAGTGATATGTGGGGCAAGAAAGTGGAGCTGGGAGATAAGGAGTGGAGTGGGGATGGGGTCAAGGGAGCAGGTGGTTGGTTTTAGGGATAGGATGAGTTCAGTGACAGAGGGTGGGGAAACGGGTACGAAGGTGTGTAGGGGAGGATGGGTAGGAGTCGGAGTGTGGGAGGGAAGGGGTGGGTGGTGGGTGGAAGTTGGAGGGGAAGTGACCGCGGAGCGGATTCCCTTGATCTTGGATTCAAGGAAATCCAGCATCTCCTCGCAGTGAAGGTTGGAGGAGATGACCTGCGCGGGGTGGCGGGGGGGACGGAGGAGTCGGGTTGTGGTGGAAAACAGTAGCCTGGGGTTGTTCTTCGCCTCCAGGATTATCCTGGAGTAGAAGGACGACTTGGCCGAGGCTAGAGTGGAGCGGTAAATTTTGAGGAGGTCCAGCCAGATTTGTCGGTGGACCGTTAGGCCAGATTTGACACAGGTGCGTTCAGCAGCCCGCACCTGGCTTTTCAGTGAGCGGAGGTGGGTGGTGTACCAGGGGGAGGAGCGGGAGTAGGAGACAGTGCGGGAAGTGATGGGGGCAAGAGTATCGAGTGTGGAGGAGAGGGTATTGTGGAGGAGGGAGAGAGGAGAAGAGGGGTCGGTGAGGGTTGAAGGCCAGAGGGAGAGGAGTTCAGAGGACTCCAAGGCATCGGTTAGGGATTGTGGGGGTAACTTCTTCCACGATGGTGGGTCTGGTGGAGGTGGGGAGGGGGGTGGAGGAGGTGAAGGAGGTGAAGGAGATGAAGTAGTGGTCAGAGATGGCCTTGTCGGTAATAGTGACATCCGAGACACTGAGTCTCAGATGTGGAGACTCAGTCCGGATGGCCCCAAGCCAGAGGGTTGATTGACCTGAGTACGTGACTGTATCTTTATTTGACCTTTAAGACCGGACAGTGATAATGATAATAATAATTCTCGCATTTGATATAGCGCTTTTCACGTCGGGAGAGGACGTCCCAAAGCGCTTCACAGAACACACTGTAAAGTGAATTGACTGTGTATTTGTGGGCGAACGCGGCAGCCAATTGCGCACAGCAATGTCCCACAAACAGTCGGGGATTGAAAATGACCAATTTATTATTGGTTTTGGTTTTGGAGGATTATTATTAGGCTCTGTGTGGAGTAAGGAAACTTGCCCGAGGTTTCGCCCTCTGCCTGGAATTGAACTCAGGTCTCACTTGCAAAGCGAGTGCTCTAACCACTGAGCTACAGGACTCCACACTCCACACAGTGGGGAATGAATGAGAAAGACATGCACTGACCATGTGCGCAGGTGACACTGGACACTGTGGTGTATACCGTGATCGGCTACAATGGTGTATAAAGATCGCAGTGCAATAGGATTAAAGTTAGTTAACTCCAGAGGAAGACGGCTGAGACTTCTTGACTTGAAACGGAAGGACAGAGAAGAATAAAGGAAGGTGACAGTGTGGAGCAGAGAAGACCGAGAGCTGGAAACAAAGTGCTGATCTAAAGACTTGTTGCAGAAAAGACAAAGTGCTGAATCAACAAAGTCCTGAATCAGCGAAGTCCGGTAGTGCTGCTCTGCTCCGAATAGTTAGTTTTAGTTGTGTAGTCTTTTTATATTATTGTGTGGTTTCCTATTTCATATCTTTTATGCCCCATATGTGTACTCATAATTGCTATGTAATAGAGCATTACTGGATTCAGACAATAAATTCATGTATTCAACCAACGCGATATATGTTGAGATCGAACCTTATTCATTCAGTCGGTAATTGGTTGCAAACAGAGACTCGATTTTCTGACATATACCACTCACACACACACAAACACACACACACTCTCACACACACTCACACATACACACCACTCTCACACACTCACACACTCTCTCACACACACACACTCTCACACACACTCACACACAAACTCACACACACACTCTCACACACTCTCACACACACTCACACATACACACACTCACACACACACACTCACACATACACACACTCTCACACACTCACACACTCTCACATACTCACACACTCTCTCTCACACACACACACTCACACACCACACTCACACACTCACACACACACTCACACAGACACACACACACACACACAGACACACACTCACACACTCACACATACACACTCTCACACACACGCACACACTCACACACACCACACATACGCTCACACCAGGGAGTGAAATCGAGTTCCTCACACTTCAAATGCCCTCCTGCTCTGCTCAGGTCTGCTTTGAAATTGTCCTTCACTCCCTGAGTGGGGTCTGTCTTCTTCTCTCCCCCACGTCATTCCCCCCCATCACTCCTCCCCATCACTCCCCCCCCGTCACTCCCCCACATCACTACCCCCCATCATTCCCCCATCACTCCCCCCCATCACTCTCCCCCCGTCATTCCCCCCCGTCACTCCCCCCATCACTCCGCCCCCCCCCCCCCCCATCACTCCCCACCCCGTCACTCCCCCAACGTCAACTTGACATCAAGTTGGAGTTCGTGTTGCTCAGGGGTTACAGCCCTCGTCTCGCAAGCCAGAGGGCCCTGGTTTTGGTTCCTGGGTGGGTCAGGTCTAAGGTAAAACCTTAGAGAAGTTTCCTTTCTCCCCAAACTCTCACACTCTCACACAGACACACCTCTGTTTGGCGGCAGGAGGTAGGAACCCGCCAAGTAGGTTTTGTCCGCAAAACAAACAATTACTACACTTTGCAGCGACTCCCTGTGAAGCGCTTTATCAAATGCTACGTGCGATTTATATATTATTATTATATATTATTATAAATGATTCCCACATACTTTCTGGGTGTGAGGTCATATGCTAAACATGTCATTGAAGGCAAAGTGAGAGAGAGAGAGAGAGAGACATCGAATGAGTCTGTGTCTGTTGAGAAAGATTATCACCGAAATTCTCAACAGGTTTGTCACCTAAAGATCCTGACTTTCCAGTCTCACTGCACGTGCTCTGGGCTCGCGCTGGCACTTACAGCGATAATTCCTGATACATTGACTTAATTTGTCACCGAAGATTAGTAAAAGTATTAACGATCCTGGCATTTGTCCTGTGCAGTCCCTGGAGCTCAGGGATCAGACCCCTCGCCTCGCAAGCCCGAGAGAAGACCCGGGTTTGATTCCCGGGCGGGTCAGGTCAGGGCAAAACCTTTGGCGAGTTTCCTTACTCTCCCCCCACCCCCACACACACGCCTCTGTTTACCTGCAGTCAGTAGGAACCCGCATGTAGTCGATCACTTTCTCGGAGATAAAAATTCATCCCCAAAAAAATGTGATCACTAAATCCACGGCTGTTTGTGGGGACGTCGCTTGGGGCGCAATTGGCTGCTGCGTTTCGCCCACAAAACACACAGTCACTACACTTTACAGTGTATCCTATATAATGCACTTTGGGACGTCTCGATTTTGTGATAAGGCATTTCTGGATTAATAATAAGATGAAACACTAAAAGTGGGTGAAATACATTAGAATCCATTAGAATGTACAGCACAGAGAGAGGCCATTCGGCCCAACTGGTCTCTGGCGGTGTTTATGCTCCATATGAGCACCAACTGCCCTTCCTCAACTGAGCCCATCAGCATAACCTTCTATTCCTTTCTCCCTCATGTACCTCTCCAGCTTCCCCTTAATTACATCTGTGCTGTTTGCCTCAGCAGCTCCTTGTGGAGCACGTTCCACATTCCCACTGCTCTCTGTGGGAAGAAATTTCTTCTAACTTCCCTATTTGATCTGTTTGGGACTATATTGATGGTTTTCTTCTCCCCCACCAGTGCAAACATCTTCCCTATGTCGACCCTATCCAAACCTTTCATCATTTTAAAGACCTCCATTGGGTCACCCTTTACCTTCCTCTTTCCAAGAGAAAAGAGTCCCGAGTATGTTCAGCCTTTCCTGATAGGTATAACCTCTCAGTTCTGGGAACATCCTCGGGAATCTCCTTTAATAATCCTCGCATTTGATATAGCGCTTTTCACGTCGGGAGGACATCCCAAAGCGCTTCACAGAACACACTGTAAAGTGAATTGACTGTATATTTGTGGGCGAACGCGGCAGCCAATTGCGCACAGCAATGTCCCACAAACAGTCGTAGATTGAAAATGACCAATTTATTATTGTTTTTGGTTTTGGAGGATTATTATTAGGCTCTGTGTGGAGTAAGGAAACTTGCCCAAGGTTTCACCCTCTGCCTGGAATTGAACTCAGGTCTCTCACTTGCAAAGTGAGTGCTCTAACCACTGAGCTACAGGACTCCACAAGTCTATAGAGGTTTACCAAAACTTCCTGCTTTTCATTTCTATCTCTCTCGGCATTAACCCCAATATCTGGTTTGCCACAGTAACCTGTGTTGCTGCTGTTAGTGAGTTGTGTATGTGTAGCCCTCGATCCGTTTGCTCCTCTACCCCATTTAGGGTTTTATTTTCCAGGATGTATGTGACTTCCTTATTCCTTCTACCAAAAGGTCCCACCTCACACTTTTCTACATTGAAATGCATTTGTCATTTAAATGCCCCCTCAGCGAGGTCGTTGATGTCTTGCTGTGAGGTGTTGCAGTCCTCCTCTGGATTAACTGTTCCCCCAATTTGGTGTCGTCCGCAGATTTTGAAATTGTCCACCTGATTCCCGAGTCCAAATCATTAATGTACATTGTGAACAACAGTGGGTCCCAGTACTGATCCTCGTGGCGCACCACTGCCCTTCCCCTGCCCCCATCCCACCCCCCGCCAGTCTGAGCCCTCTCCCCCACTCTCTGTTTGCTGTTTTGCAGCAGTTTGCTATCCATTCTGCTGCTTTCCCCGGACTCCACACGCTCCGACCTTATCCATTAATCTGTTACGTGGGACCTTATCGAACACCTTTTGGAAATCTAAATATATTACATCCACCGCATTCCCCCTCGTCTACTCTGTCTGTTTCCCCTTTAAAGAATTCACTGAGGTCGGTCGAGCCTGACCGTCCTGTTTGAAATCCGTGCTGACTATTCTTTATTATGTTTTCCGTTTCCAGATGTTTTTCTATCACCTCCTTCAGTAAGGATTCCATTATCGTTCCTACCCCCGATGTCAAGCTGACAGGTCTATAGTTCACTGGACTTGTTCTATCTCCATTTTTAACTATAGGTATAGCATTAGCTATCCTCCAGTCCTCTGGCACTACTGCCTTTTCTAATGAGTTATTATATATGTGTAATATATAAATATGTTATTATAAATATGTGCACTGACCTCTGCTATCTCTTCCCTCCATTCTTTTAATATATGTGGATGCAATCCATCTGGACCAGGGGTTTGATCCTCTCTGAGTTTTGTTAGCTTTTTGATTATCTCCCCTTTGCGTCACAAATGTATTTATATTATTTTCGATCTCTTTTTCTCCTGTTGTGCCCTCTCTCTGGCGAACGCTGAGGCAAAGTCTTTATTTAATATTTCTGCCATTTCGCTGTCGATGTCAGATTTTTATGGAAATGCCAGCGATATTGTCATAATTTACTATAATAATCCTGGCATTCGGCCCAGCGCCTTATCATGTCATTGAGATGTCTCAAAGTCTTTCACAGGAGATAGTATAAAGTGGAGTGACTGTACCTTTTGTGGGCGAAATTCAAGGGTTATTATTACATCTGCTTCATCAGTCACCTCAAAGCTGTTCAGTCGGATGTTGCAGACACTTATTATCTTGACGACGTGATAAGACGCTGCGTCAAATGCCGGGATTATTATGATTATTAATAATGAGAGGAAAACGTGTCCAGCACAGAGGCGCTCAGCACAGCGGCCACTGGAGGGCGACAGAGCTATCTCGGTGCTTTGGTGTCCAAACAGTAGGGTTTCAATGTAGGAACTTTCATCCATTTCCTTGGCACTTAACCTGGGAGTTGGGTTAATCAGTGATTTCCTAACAGTTGGGCTGTCACATTAATATCACTGGCACTCCCCTCAGTCCAGAGCTGGTGGAGCAGAGAGGGAGAGACAGAGCGAGAGAGCGATAGAGAGAGCAAGAGAGAGAGAGCAAGACGGAGAGAGAGAAGGTTGCAGGAAAATATAAGGCAACTGAACACATCTGGGACTTGCCTCACACCGTGCGGTCTTTATATTCGGGATGCTCCCAGGTTTCCTGGATTCCCATTGATTCGCGCCTCCACTCAACCCCTTATTTTTCCTCTCTCTCATCTCCCCCTCCTCCCCTCCCCTCTTCTGTCTCCCAACCTACCCACTTCCCCCAACTTGGGTTGCTGTTGTCACACAGAGAGAGAGAGAGAACGAGGTGGTGGTTGTGTTTGGCGTTAGGATTGATCCCAAGTTATCCTAGGAGTACGCCTTTGCCCCAAGCCCAGTTCCAGCCCCAAGTCCTCGCCCTCCACATCGCAGTTGGGATCTGGGAGTGCGTTCTCTGGGTGTCAGCCCCCTCCTGTTTCCCCCCCCAACGTCATGTTGAGATTGGTGAAAATGGAATCACACGAGATGTCCGAATGGAGCAACTTTTATTCCGATGGTTCGGAGGTGAGTGAGCACCGGGCAAGCGAACAAGTTAGAGAGCGAGCAAGCGAGCGAGCGAGCTTATATTGCGAGGGTTCGGGACAGAGAGAGAGAGAGACAGAGAGAGAGAGAGAGAGAGGAGGGAAGAGCGGTGAATGAGGGCTGTGTGTGAGCTTTCTGTTCCCGAAAGGAATCTATTCACAGTTCACTCCAACCAGTGATTTAACACTCTCTCAATTTAAATACATAAAATACATGGAGTTCCTGTAGCTCAGGGGTTAGACCCCTCGCCTCGCACCCCACAGCCCCTGTAGCTCAGGGGTTAGACCCTCGCCCCCACCCCACAGCCCCTGTAGCTCAGGGGTTAGACCCCTCGCCCCCACCCCACAGCCCCTGTAGCTCAGGGGTTAGACCCCTCGCCTCGCACCCCACAGCCCCTGTAGCTCAGGGGTTAGACCCCTCGCCTCGCACCCCACAGCCCCTGTAGCTCAGGGGTTAGACCCCTCCCTCGCACCCCACAGCCCCTGTAGCTCAGGGGTTAGACCCCTCCCCCACACCCCACAGCCCCTGTAGCTCAGGGGTTAGACCCCTCGCCCCCACCCCACAGCCCCTGTAGCTCAGGGGTTAGACCCCTCCCCTCGCACCCCACAGCCCCTGTAGCTCAGGGGTTAGACCCCTCCCTCGCACCCCACAGCCCCTGTAGCTCAGGGGTTAGACCCCTCGCCTCGCACCCCACAGCCCCTGTAGCTCAGGGGTTAGACCCCTTGCCTCGCAAGCCAGAGGACCCGGGTTCGATTCCCGGGCGGGATAGGACAGGGAGAAACCTTAGGCAAGTTTCCTTATTCCCCACAAACCCACACACAGTCACCTCTGTTTACCAGCAGTCAGTCGGTACTCAGTTGTTAGTCGATAGGGGGTGACAATCCTTTCAAAAAATAAAATAATAATAATTTAATAATTTGGTCACTTCAATCCACGACTGTTTGTGGGGTTGTCTCTGGTCACAATTGGCTGCTGCGTTTTTCCCATAAAATACACAGTCACTACACTTTACAGTGAATCCTGTGAACCACTTTGAGACGTCTCAGCAATGTGATAAGGCGCCGGGTCAAATGCCAGGATTATTATTATTACAAATCACTTGCCTCGTGGCTGTTTGTGAGGACGTCGCCCGCAAAACACACAGTCACTATACTTTACAGTGGAACTCTTTGAGACATTTCACAGTGAAAATAACAACCCTGTGTTTGACCTCATCACGTCGTCGAGACGTCTTAAAGCGCTTCACAGGACACACTGTACTGTGTGTTTTGTGGGTGAAGCGCAGAAGCCAATTGCGCCCTCGAAATTGACTGCTAATCCCAACTCCCAACCATATAGTTATATTGATATGATCCTCACCCTCGATCCAGCGCCTCATCGAGAACAAATGTCTTTAGAGTTTCTTATGTGTTTTGTGGGTGAATGTGGCAGCTGATTTGTGCACAGAGACCTCCCCGCAAACAGCCGAGAAGAGACCGAGAGGTTTTATCTTTGGGATTGTTGACCAGGACACCGGGAGAGAGAGAGAGCGAGAGAGAGAGAGAGAGAGAGAGAGAGAGAGAGAGCGAGAGAGAGAGCGAGAGAGCGCGAGAGAGAGAGAGCGAGAGCGCGAGAGAGAGAGACTCCCTTCTCTTCTCCCTGTGTGCTGTATAATTGCAAATTTCAGGACAGATATCAGTAAGTTTTCTTCACCCCAAAGGGAATTAAACACTGGATGAGACGTTACACAACATAATAATAATCCCGAGGTCTGACCCGGCGCCTGATCACATCATTTAGACGTCTCAAAGCGCTTCACGGGATACACTGTAAAGTGCAGTGACTGTGTGTTTTGTGGGCGAAACATGGCAGCCGATCGCGCTCAGCGACGCCCCCACGAACAGCCGCGGGTTGAGTTATAATCTTATTAGAAAAGATTATAATCTTTTTTGAAGTGATTATTACTCCCGGAAAGCGATCCACCAATCGACTAACAACCACCTTCCTACTCACTGCTGGTAAACAGGGGCGTGTGTGTGTGTGTGTGTGTGTGTGGGGGTGGCGCGGGGCGGGGTGGGGGGGGTGGGGAGTAAAGAAACTTGCGGAAGGTTTCGTCCTGCCCTGTCCTGCCTGGGAATCGAACCCAGGTCCTTTGGCGTGCGAAGCGTGGCCTCTAACCACTGAGCTACAGGGACGCGCTACAGGGCGATTGAGCAAACAGTTTCCTCTGTCAGCTAACGATCAATCCGCGGCGTATCAGAGACTTTACTGCCTTTTATTGGTTGGCACCAGATGTTTGAATCATATCACAAATGTTTTATTAGTGACAGATACACAGTGGGACAGCGCAGCTCAGTGAAGCCTCATCGCACTTCGCAGTGAAACACCCCTCACCCTAATCTGTGTTGACTTTAATACAGCAAATATTTGATTAATATCTCAACCTCAAAGACACACAGTCCAAGTCGAAAAGCTATCTATTCTGTGGAGTCCCTGTAGCTCAGGGGTTAGACCCCTCCCCTCGCACCCCACAGCCCCTGTAGCTCAGGGGTTAGACCCCTCGCCCCCCACCCCACAGCCCCTGTAGCTCAGGGGTTAGACCCCTCGCCCCCCACCCCACAGCCCCTGTAGCTCAGGGTTAGACCCCTCCCCTCACCCCACAGCCCCTGTAGCTCAGGGGTTAGACCCCTCCCCTCGCACCCCACAGCCCCTGTAGCTCAGGGGTTAGACCCCTCCCTCGCACCCCACAGCCCCTGTAGCTCAGGGGTTAGACCCCTCCTCCCCACCCCACAGCCCCTGTAGCTCAGGGGTTAGACCCCTCGCCCCCACCCCACAGCCCCTGTAGCTCAGGGGTTAGACCCCTCGCCCCCACCCCACAGCCCCTGTAGCTCAGGGGTTAGACCCCTCACCCCACAGCCCCTGTAGCTCAGGGGTTAGACCCCTCGCCCCCCACCCCTGTAGCTCAGGGTTAGACCCCTCGCACCCCACAGCCCCTGTAGCTCAGGGGTTAGACCCCTCGCCCCCACCCCACAGCCCCTGTAGCTCAGGGGTTAGACCCCTCGCCCCCACCCCACAGCCCCTGTAGCTCAGGGGTTAGACCCCTCACCCCCACCCCACAGCCCCTGTAGCTCAGGGGTTAGACCCCTCGCCCGCACCCCACAGCCCCTGTAGCTCAGGGGTTAGACCCCTCGCCCCCACCCCACAGCCCCTGTAGCTCAGGGGTTAGACCCCTCGCCTCGCACCCCACAGCCCCTGTAGCTCAGGGGTTAGACCCCTCCCCCCACCCCACAGCCCCTGTAGCTCAGGGGTTAGACCCCTCCCTCCACCCCACAGCCCCTGTAGCTCAGGGGTTAGACCCCTCGCACCCCACCCCACAGCCCCTGTAGCTCAGGGGTTAGACCCCTCGCACCCCACAGCCCCTGTAGCTCAGGGGTTAGACCCCTCGCCTCGCACCCCACAGCCCCTGTAGTTCAGGGGTTAGACCCCTCGCCTCGCACCCCACAGCCCCTGTAGCTCAGGGGTTAGACCCCTCGCCTCGCAAGCCAGAGGACCCGGGTCAGGGCGAAACCTTAGGCAAGTTTCCTTAATCTCCCCCCCCCCACCTCACACACACACACACACACACACGCGCCTGTTTGTAGGAATCCGCTTGTTAGTCGATTAGAGTTATAAACAAACCAATAAATAAATAAATAAATAATAACTAAATAAATAGGTTGTTCAACCCCCGGCTGTTTGTGGGGACGTCGATGGGTGGCTTGCGTTTCGTCCACAAGAAAGCAACAGTCACTACACTTTACAGCGTATCCTGTGAAGCGCTTTGAGACGTCTCAATGACGTGATGAGGCGCCGGGTCACACCCCGGGATTGTTCTTGTTATTATAATAAACACAAGTTGTTGTTGCTGTTGGTGGTGGATTGTCTGTGACGTCCTCGTTTCCTCTTTCTTTCCCACAGTTTTACCCGGTGGTGAGCGGGATGGGCGGGAGTGTGGGGGCAATGAGTCCAGTGAACAGCTACGTGAGTCTGAACCCCGTCTCCCCTCAGCCTCCCCCCAACATGTCCTACACCAACCTGAACCCCTCAACCCTCTCCGCCCTGACCGGGCCGGTGGGACCAATGGGCAACAGTCTCTCGTCCATGCAAACGTCCATCAACGGGAACTTGGCTCCGATGGGGGGTCAGGTCAACGTGGGGAACTCTCTGCCCCCCTACCAGGGAATGGGACAAGCCTTGGGCCCGATGGGGGTTTATAACTCGCCCTCGTTGAGTTGTCCCAAAGAGGCCAAGCCTTACCGCCGGTCTCTGAGCCACGCCAAGCCCCCGTACTCCTACATCTCGCTGATAACCATGGCCATTCAGCAGTCGGCCAGCAAGATGCTGACCCTGAACGAGATCTACCAGTGGATCATGGACTTGTTCCCCTATTACAGGGAGAACCAGCAGCGATGGCAAAACTCCATCCGTCACTCGCTCTCCTTCAACGACTGTTTCGTCAAAGTCCCTCGAGCCCCCGACAAACCGGGGAAAGGTTCCTATTGGGCCCTTCACCCCGACTCTGGCAACATGTTCGAAAACGGCTGTTACCTGCGGCGGCAGAAGCGCTTCAAGTGCCAGAGGGAGAAGCTGGGCCCCAGGGCGACCCCGGGGCCAGGGAGCACAGCCCCCGCCCACAGCTCGGAGGATGAGGAAGAGGAGGGGGAGGGGGAGGGGGGGGAGTCCAGCAGGTCGGGGTCCTCACCTTTGCCGGAGGAGAGAGGAGTGGGGGGTGAGATGGAATGTCGGAGGTCAGACGGGACCGTGAACGAGATGTCCCCCTCACACCAGGCAGTCGTTCATCAGCTCCTCCAGCCCCCCCCGGCCCCCCACCTGACTGAGCTCCACGGAGACCTCAAGATGGACGCTCAATATGGCTTCAACCACCCATTCTCGATCACCAACCTCATGTCATCAGAGCAGGGGCACAAGATGGATTTGAAGCCCACCTTCCTCTACAGTAATGGTTACGGTTCCAACACCAACACCTCCTCCTCCTCCTCCTCCTCTGCGCTGGGAAAGCCGGGCTTCGAGGTCTCCTCGGAGATTGGAAACCCCAATCCTTACTACCAAGTGCTCTACAACCGATCGCTGCTCAATACCTCATAATTATTATTATTGTTATTATTATTTTTGCTTAGCCAAGCGGGTGTCTGTCACCCACAGAAACCTATCACCATGACCAGCCGGGTATCTGACACGCAAGGAAACCCGTCACCGTGACCGGTCGGGTGTCTGACACACACGGAAACCCGTCACCGTGACCGGTCGGGTGTCTGACACACACGGAAACCCGTCACCGTGACCGGTCGGGTGTCTGACACACACGGAAACCCGTCACTGTGACCGGTCGGGTGTCTGACACACACGGAAACCCGTCACTGTGGCTTAAGAGTCTCCAAACCCGACTGAGAATTCCCCACATCCCCTCCACACCCGGGAACCCCAGAGAGAGAGTGTCGGGATGGGATGCGCTCTCTCTCTCTCCCTGGAGGGACGCCCCCTGTTTACCTAATTCCGGAGAGTATTAGGCACAGGTTGGGGAAGCCCAGAGTTGTGGGGTAACTGTTGGGGTCTAACCAACTAAACACAGCTCAGCCATCGAGAGAGAGAGAGAGAGAGAGAGAGAGAGAGAGCGAGCGCTGTCTGGCCGAGCCTTCCCGCTGCTTCTCCCGCTCGGACCCCCCTCCCCGTCAGACAGTCAGTGCTTTGGCTGTGGGGTTAACAGGAGCCGAGGGGGAGGATTCTCTGCCCCCAATTACATTTTTGTTTCCCGCAGTTTGTTTCTTCTGGTTGCGAAATGAAGATTTTTTTTCTTTTATTTAAGATACGTTTTATTGTCGATGTTAATATATCGTAATTTGGCTGTTTTTGGCGTAATTAAATACGGTGTAATGTACAGCTGAGGTTTCCCGTCCTGATTATTATTATTATTGTTATTATTATTGTTATTGCTATTATATCAGTCTGACTATAACTGCAACTGCGTTACTGAGCGAAAATCAGACTGATATCATAATAATAATCCTTGCATTTCATACAGCGCATTATAGCGTCATTGAGACGTCTCAAAGCGCTTCACAGAATATATTGTAAAGTGTAGTGACTGTGTGCTTTGTGGGCGAAACGCGGCAGCCAATTGCGCCCCAGCGACGTCCCCACAAACAGCCGGGGGTTTGAGTGACCAAATTATTATTGTTATTATTTATTTATTTTTACTTTGAAGAGATTATTGGCCCCGGAAAGTGATTATTATTATATTATTGTTGTTGTTGTTGTGATAGATGTTTGTTCGGTCGGGGTATTAAGGGATGACAGAGGCTACACCCGCTGAGCGAACCCTTCCTGTCAAAATCCTCATCCTCCCGTTCATGGCCCCCCCTCCATGGCCTCGCTGCCCCCATGTCAACTCCGCTCAGTGTGCTCTGGCCTACTCCACCCCACCATCAGCCTCTCTGCCCCCACCCTCGCCCCCTCCCTCACCCACTCCCTCGCCCCCTCCCTCGCCCCTCCCTCACCCCCTCCCTCGCCCCTCCCTCGCCCCCTCCCTCGCCCCCTCCCTCGGCCCCTCCCTCGCCCCTCTCTCGTGCCCTCCCTCGCCCCCTCCCTCGCCCCTCCCTCGCCCCCTCCCTCGCCCCCTCCCTCGCCCCCTCCCTCGCCCCTCTCTCGTGCCCTCCCTCGCCTCCTTTAAGACCCTCCTCTTCAATCAACCGCACCTTCGGTCACCCTCCTGCCCCCCTCCCCACCCACCCTCCTGATCCCAGCCCCCAGCTCACTGTCCAGCACCCTGGGACGTCCGCCTGACGTGAAAGTCACCGTGTAACTGTCATGTGCTGTTGTTGTTGTTGTTGGTGCTGTTGTTGTTGTAAATCCAAAATTCCTGGGAAAAAAACTGGCGAAAATAAATGGAATTATTTTGAGTAGAAAATTTCCAACGAGTGCTTTTTTTTTACCCCAAAAATACAAACCTCACCTCCTCACATCAATTTAAACCATCACCAACCAGTGTTTATTATAATAATAATAATAATAATAATCCTGGCATTAGATACAGAGCCTCATCACATCGTTCAAACATCTCAAAGCGCTTCACAGGAGACATTGTAAAGTGTCACAGGGAAAGCAATTCATCTGTGGGTAACCAGAGCAGTAGGGAAAGCGTCAAATTAAAAGAAAAGGCTTATAAAACTGCCAAGAAAAGCAGCAAATCTGAAGATTGGGAGAGTTTTAGAAACCAGCAAAATAAAACTAAAAAACTCATTAAGAGTGAGAAAAAGGAGTATGAGGGTAAGCTCGCTGGGAACACTAAGTCTGATTGTAAAAGGTTTTACAAATACATTAAGAGGAATAGGCTATTGAGGGTAAATGTAGGTCCACTTCAGTCAGAGACGGGAGAAGTTGTAATGGGGGATAAGGACATGGCAGAGTCCCTAAATGGGTACTTTGCATCTGTCTTCACCCGAGAAGACACAACAAGTCTACCAACAATAGAGATGCACCAAAGGGATAAGGACAGGGAGCAACTTAGGGAAATTTTCATTAGTAGAGAATTGGTGCTGGGAAACTGTTAGCACTAAAAAGTGACAAATCCCTGGTCCGGATGGCTTACATCCCAGGGTTTTAAGAGAGGAGCTTATGAGATAGTGGAGGCCTTGTGTCTGATCTTCCAAAATTCCTTGGATTCTGGAACAGTCCCCATGGATTGGAAGATCGCAAATGTCACACCACTATTTAAAAAAGGTGGAAAGGAAAAGATGGGGAACTATAGGCAGTTCGTCTCACATCAGTGATGGGAAACATTTTAGAATCATTGATTAAGGATGTGGTAGTGCGGTATTTAGGGCACAATATAATTAGGCCGAGTCAACGTGGCTTTACAAAAGGGAAGTCATGTTTGACAAATCTCATAGAGTTTTTTGAGGATATTTCGAGTAAACTCGATAAGGGGGAATCAGTGGATGTGGTCTATTTGGACTTCCAGAAGGCATTCGATAATGTGCCGCATAAAAGGTTAGTCCAAAGGATAAGGGCCCACGGAATTGGGGGGAGCATATTAACGTGGATTGGGGAATGGTTAACGGGAAGGAAACAAAGAGTAGGGATAAACGGGTCCTTTTCAGATTGGAGGGATGTGACTAGTGGAGTGCCACAAGGATCAGTCCTTGGGCCTCAGCTATTTACCATCTACATCAACGATAGAGATGAGGACATCAAAGTTAATATATCTAAATTCACGGATGACACAAAACTAGGAGTAAGTGTCAACAATGTCAAACACAGAGGATGACATT